CCGGCTTGTGAGCTGGTGGCAGCAGGCCTGGAGGAAAGCACAGCAGGCTGCATTATCAGAGTGGGGAGCCTCGGAGCTGAGCAGGCAGCCAGGGGGATGGAGGCCTGAAGCTCCTGAAAGTTCCCAACCTGCTGGGTGGAGTGCACCCGTACAATTCTGTCCACCTGTCCTTTCTCCTGAGCAGCAAGCTCTATGCAGTCCTTGCCCCTTCAGCAGCCCTCTCGTTTTAGGAAGTCTCTCAGTCTGCCCGCCTTTCTTTTGTCCCAGATTGGCTGGATGTGGATCCCTGTTTTCCACAAACAGCTGGAATCTCATTCTCTCCAAGTGTTCCTCCTGTCTTAGCTTTCCTACCCCACCAATCTCCAGAGCACCATGCAATGTAGGTTCCTGCTCCCAGAGCAGATCTCCAGGGCTGGGTGTTCAGCAGTCCTAGGCCTCCACCCCCTCCCTGCTCGTTTCTCTTCCCCCTACCGGTGAGCTGTGGGAGGCTTGGGTCCCGCCAAGTCAAGGCTTTGGTGTGATACCATTTCGTAAGTTCTGCTGTTTTCTCCAGGTGTGTGCAGTCTGGTGCAAACTTCTTTCCTGTTGCTCTTTTAGGATTAATTGTATTACCTATATTTTTGTATTATATGTGGTTTTGGGAGGAGTTCTCTGTCTCACCTCTCATGCTGCCATCTTTAATCTCAGTACTAATATTTTCTCCCATTCCCTAGGTTGCCTTTTTGTTCTGCTCATGGTTTATTTTGCTGTGCAGAAGCTTTTTAGTTTGATGTAGTCCTACTTGTTCACTTTTACTTTTGTTTCCCTTGCCTGGGAGACATGTCTTGAAAAAAATTACTAATGCCAATGTTCAGGAGTTTACTGCCTATGTTTTCTTCTAGGAGTTTTGTGGTTTCATGTTTTATATTTAGGTCTTTAGTCCATTTTGAGTTTACTTTTATGTATGGTACAAGAAAGCAGTCCAGTTTAATTGTCTTGCACATAGGTGTTCAGTTTTGCCAATACCAGTTGTTGAAGAGGCTCTCTTTTCCCCATCATACATCCACAGCTCCTTTATCGTGTATTAATTGACCGTATATGCATGGGTTTATATCTGGGCTCTTCTCTATTCCGCTCTGTCGATCTGTGTCTGTTCTTGTGCTAGTGCTGTGCTGTTTTGATTACTGTAACTTTGTAGTATAGCCTGAAACCAGGGATTGTGTCACTCTAGTTTTGTATTTCCTCAGGATTGCTTTGGCTATTCAGGGGCTTTTATGGTTCCATATGAATTTTAGGATTATTTGTTCCCGTTCTGTAAAAAATGCCCTTGGTTTTTTAATAAGGATGGTGTTGAATCTGTAGATTACTTTGGGTAGCATGGCCATTTAAATAATGCTAATTCTTCTAGTTTATGAGTCTGGAATATCTTTCCTTTGTCAGTTTCTTTCATCAGCATCTTATAGTTTTCAGAGTCCAGGTCATTCACCTCTGTGGTTGAATTTATTCCTAGATTTTTTTTTGTGATGCAGTTGTAAATGGGATTGTTTTCTTAATTTCTCTTTCTGCTAGTTTGTTTTTAGTATATAGAAATACAACACATTTCTGTGTATTGATTTGGTATCCTGCAACTTTATTGAATTATTTATTAGTTGTAATTGTTTTTTGGTGAGGTCTTTAGGGTGTCCTATGTACAGTGTTATGTCATCTGAAATGCCACTTATTTTTTGCCCTTACCCATTTCAGTTCTTTTTTCCCAAAGGAATCTTCATCTTTTTTTCAAATTCTTATTTTGAAATAATTTTAGACATATAGACAGTTGCAAAGCGGTACAGTGAGTCCTGTATGCCCTTCCCCCAGTCTCCTGTAATGTTCCCCTGTCTCGTGTGGTCCCCGCAGTCCAGTGGACGCACCGGGGCTCGTGCTGGAGCATGGTGGGTACGTGACCCGCACGGCTGCCATGGCTCTCCCTGGTTCTCACTTTGTTCTCTGAAGAGGATGTGTCTAGAGACCAAGACCTGGACACTCGGCTTGCTCGTCGCTGCTGGGGCGTCGCTGCTCCAGGCCCCTCAACGGGCAGGGCTGGAGACCCCAATGTGCATGCTCGTCTCTGCTTGCACATACACATATTTCTGTACAGTCTCCTGTTGTGTTTTAAAATAACACATTCAGGACTTTTCTCAGGATTGGTTAGCATATTATCTCCTACATTTTTAACTGAACAGTCAGGTCTGGATGGAAGCATCTACCTGGGATATGAGGTGAACATGAAAAGCAACTTGATCTGGACTCTTGAGAAGTCTGACGCCAGAGGCCTCTCATCAGCAAGGTGACGTCACGGCAGCGGCTGTGGGTGGCATGCAGACCACAGCTGCGCGTGAGCACACAGTGCCGGCACGTGCGCAGCACGCTCGGAATGGAGGCTGTCTCACTGCCACTCCACGGATGCGCCGGACTCACCCCTCGAGAGGCTTCTCTCTTTAGACGTGCCTCCAAAGAGGTGACTCTCCCCTCTTTTCCTACTGAAGCAGCAACAGACTAGTGTGGACGGTGTCAGACACTCACAGGAGAGACAAGATCGTGCGACTGTGCCCCTCGCCAGCACCCCTGGCTGTCAGGGCCCACCAGACCCACCAGGGCCCACTGCACCTCCTCCCTGGGAATTTTGAACCAAATTCCAGACATCTTTTCATTTGTAAATGTTTCTTATACATCGCTAAGGGGTAAGGATTCTTTTTTAACAAGCACAGTACTATTATCCTCTTTTAAAAATAACATAATTCTTCAGTATCATCAAATGTCCACTCTGTTTTCAAGTTTCCAGCCGTCTGAAGCATCGTTCTCTTGTTTGCATTTTTGCAGCTATGTATGTGGAACTTGTTTTGATCCTTGCATTGGGAGACCTTTTTGTTGCTTTTCTTCAGAATTTAAGGGCTATTGATGCCCAGTGTTTGAGCTGCGAATTGGAGCTACGCTAATAATATTACTCTTCATTTATAACTGTAGCATTTCTGTGATGAGAAGGCTCCTCTCCTCTGTTGTGAATGCAGTTTGCATACGAAAGAGTCAGGGTCAATGAGCAGTCCTTCCTCTTTATCAGTTTTCAAGTTATGTGTTTGTGTCACTAGCATTACCCAGCATGACCAATAAAACCAACTAGTTTGTCTTTTTTTTTTTAAGTCAGGTGTTAAGCCTCTTTGATGCGCCCTGGTCCATCTTTGGCCGGTAATGGCTTCTTCCAGTTGTCCCAAGGTCCTTTACAAAAGATGCTTCCGGCTCATGTGGAGCCTTCATGGTCCAGGATCTGGGATGAGCCACTTGTCCTGGGCTCGAGAGAGCTCGGGACCACCGCCGGGCCCCAGGGAGCCTGTGGAGCAGTCTTGTTTCGAGGCCTTTTTGGGGAGAGCGTTAGGGACTGTTTCAGTTTGTCTCAGCAGTGCTTCAGATCGGGGGCGCAGGGTTTACCCAGCGGCTCCTCTGTGGTGTCTGGGTCTCTTCTCCCACACCGACAGCGCTGACGGATTTAGACTAGCACATAATTAATGACTCACTTGCTTTATCTCACACCAGCAGTTCTGAGGACAGGATCAACTCTGCCGCCAACTACATGTTTAGTGAGACAGCACGTGTCTTCTGGCGTTCGTCCTGCGCTGCGTCTCAGGTCACTGCACCTTTAAGTCCCTGCAGTGGGTCTTTGAGTGATTGTGTCCTAAAGGGACTGTATGGGTTCATTTATTTCATTTTATTCTTGATGTTCGCAGATTGCTTTTCTAAATTTAATTTTGTTTTAAGTTTATAAACCCAAAGCCAAACCTCTCAAACCAGAGATAGTCCCGAGTTCAGCTTCCTGTCCCCGTCCTGCCCCTGCTCTCTGCCTTCACTAGGGCAGCCCTAAGAACATGCTCCGGTCTGTGTTTCCAGGCCCCGTGAGCCGACTGCATCTCCTCCCCATGTCTGCAGAGGAAGCAAGGCTGTCCTCTACCTTTTTCCACCGTCGTGCACCCATAGCCACAGCGCCCCCCGTCCTTCAGTCGCTGTGTTGCCGCTAGCGGTGTGCTGACGGCCCTGGTGGATGGCCGTACCATTTCTGGCCCTTCGCTGTGTTTGGGGGTCTGTGGGGCAGGCCCCTGGAGCTGGCGCCGCTGGCCAGAGGATCAGAGCAGGCGCAGTCTGGCCCGCAGGGCACATCCCCGCGGGCAGGATGGGGAATGGGGAGGGTGGAGGGCTTCTCCACGCGAGCGGGTGAGCAGCGGGACCGCTACAGGGCTTGATTTCCTTTCTTCTGATGTGCATCAGGCCGGCATCTTCCCTGCACTGAAGGCGAGCTGTGTCCCTCTGCCCCCTGCCTCCTCTCCCCTCCCTGCTGACCAGCCCCCGGAGCCCAGCCCCCGTTCTGGTCCTTCCTTGAGGAGGCCTTACTGCCCTGCTCAGCCAGACTTTCTCCTGAAAGAGCCTCTGCCTCATCTAAGTCTGCCAAAGCCTCTTCCTTGGACACGGCACAGAGAGTGCCCCCTGCACGTGTGCCCCCTTAGCACCTTCACAGCTCTGGGCCTGTACCGTGCCTGACAGTGGGTACTCGAGACACCTTTGCTGGCTTTGAAAGGCCTTTGGGCAAAGCCCATGGGGGTTAAGGAGTGTCCACATGCCCCGGGTGGTGCTGAGAAGCTGGTGGTGCTTTTCCGGCTGTTGTGGATGGCGCTTTGGGACCCGGCCCTGGATGCAGCCCCACAAGTGTGCTGGGGTGCGGTTTGGAGTCCCTGTGGTCTCAGCTTGTGATGCTGGTCTGGGAGGGGGATGGGGTGTGGGGAGGCAGAGGGGTCCTGGGCGCCTCCGTGCAGGAGGTGGGGCAGGCTGGGCGGGCTGGGCAGGCTGGGTGGACCAGGAGGCTCACCCGCAAATGGTTCAGACCTTGTCCAGGGCAGGTGTCTGCGGCTCCATGAGGTGATACTCAGAGTAGGGACGGGTGTGGGGGCTCCAGTTTCTGGGGAGAGCTGACTGGTAACGGGTCTCTTGGCATCTCCTAGGAGCTGTCCAAGATCACGATGCCGATCGCCTTCAATGAGCCGCTCAGCTTCCTCCAGCGGATCACAGAGTACATGGAGCACGTTCAGCTGATCCGTGCAGCCTCCCGCCAGCCCCAGGCCCTGGGGAGGATGCAGGTGGGCAGGGGGTGCTCCAGGCAGTAGACGATGGGCGTGGCACCTCTGCACTATCCGGCCATGTCCAGAAGGGACCGGGTGCCTCGCGGGGGGAGGCCCGGAGGAGAGCTGGCACAGCTCTCCCGGCGGCTGAGGCCCTTGTCACATGAGCTCCGCGCAGGTGTGCGCCTCCGCTCGCCTCGGGGCCCCTCAGCTGCCCCTCCGCGGTGTGTGTGCAACCCTCCGGCTGGCAGCGCCCGCACCACGGGGCCTGCCCAGAAGGCCTGGCGGGGGTCGAGAGCAGCAGGCTCCCTCTCCAGGCTCCCGGGCAGTGGTGTTGATGGTGGCGTCCCCAAGGCCCATTGTCATGTGGCCTGTCAGAAGCGGCGGCGGGTCAGCGAATGTGAGATGGCGCAGGGGCTGAGGTCTGACTCCGCCCTGTGCTGTTCCCAGTGTGTAGCTGCCTTCGCGGTCTCGGCTGTGGCTTCCCAGTGGGAGAGGACCGGCAAGCCGTTCAATCCGCTCTTGGGGGAGACGTACGAGTTGATCAGGTGAGAGCACAGGTGCCCGAGCTTGGGGTGCGAACTCCTCCCGCCACTGACTTCTCTGCCCTGCGGGCAGGATGGGCTGCCCCCGGGGTGCTCCCTGCAGGTGGGGCGTGCGGGGAGTGGTGCGTTAATACCGCACAGGCCGGCCGAAGGTGGACTGGGTATCAGACCCGGAGAGGAGACACGAGGTGCCGGTGTGGAAACCTGCTAATAGGGAGACCAACCACCTTGCCCTAGTGTCCTTGCCCTAGTGCTTGGAGAGCGCAGCTGAAGGACGACAGTCGTTGTTAAGAGGCCTCTGCAGCCTCCACGGAGGTCTGAGGTGGGGCCTGTGGCACTGGCCAATTTTAAATGCCACTTTAATTCCTTCCTTCTGAGCATCTCCTGCTTTCAGCCTGTCCCCCAGCACGCAGGCCTGAGAAGGGCCAAAGGGCAGGGGGGTGCTCTGTGGGTCCTGGGAGCTCACGTGGGCCTCCCTCCCTGGCCTCACTGCCTCACAGGCTGCACACTTAGAAAGTTGTCTGTGGGCCTGTGCACCTTGGTGGCCGCCCACAGGGACCACCTGTGCGACGCAGCTCCCCAGGCCCCAGCGCGGCCGGCCGGGCCGGGCGTCCTGGGGTGCGAGTGAGCACAGCCCCTCTGAGGATGTCTGGGGTTGCTTGCTGTACCTGCCCTTGGGTCCTGTTGAGAGTCTGCCGGGTATTTTACTTAAGAGCATTTGTTTCTAATTACAAGAGCTCTTTTTGAAAGTGTAAAACTGAGAGAAGTTAGGAGACGGGTGGGACATGACCCTTGAAGCACAATCAGTGTGAGCGCTTGGGTAGATTTCCCTGCGTGTGTGTTTACTTAATGTGATCTTTTAATTGTATCCTTTTTCAGTTAACATTATGCCACATTCATTTCCCTACAATATGAAACGCTTTTCTGAACTATAGTACCTCACAGATGCCAGGACGCCCGCTTTGTGTTCTAGCGTCTCTGCACAGTCTTGCTTCACTTGCAGCATTTTTTCTTTCTTTGGTGTGTTGTGTGATCAGTGGAATTCTGGATTCAAAGAATCGTTTAGGTGGTAGTTCTTGGGCCCTTACTGAATGGGTGTTATTAGTGATTAAGAGTTTTTCAAAGGTGAGTAAGTGATTGTGGAGCTTGGAGACATTGCCAAAGTCAGCAGTCCTGGGGGCCGTGGGGTTTGAAAGGGTGTCATCTCCAGGAACCCAGGCCGGCTGTGTGTCTGTGCAGAATCACTTGTGTTTTGGTTTCAAATTCTGATCTGTTTCTGATTCATCCTGACGGTCCAGCCTCTGGCCCCTTCCCCGCATGCACACCTTGGAGGTGTCTCAGGTTCAGTTCCAAACCACCACGATACAGTGAATACTGCCAGAAAGTTAGCCAGATGAATTTTTTGGTTTCCAGTGCATATAAAAGTCATGTTTTTGCTATACTGTAGTCTGTTAAGTGTGCAATAGCATTATGTCTAAAAAAAGTGAACACTTTAATTAAAACATGCTGCTAAAAAACACTAGCCATCGTCTGACCTTTCAGTGAGTCATAAACACTGACCACAGGCACCATCACAATAAAATAATAATAAAAAAGCTTCAAATCCTTGTGAGAACCACCAAAGCAGACACAGAAATGTGAAGTGAGCAGATGCTGTTGGAAAAATGGTGCCGATTGCCCTGCTTCAAACTTTGAATTGGTAAAAAAACACAGCATGTTCCAAGTGCGGCGAAGCAAACGCAGCACCGTGAGGTCAGCTGGCACGGCCGGTGCGGGGTGCCCCCTGCAGGCTTTCACCGTGGTCCAGATGCTGCCTGGCTCTGCAGGGCGGGGCCGTGGTACTGAGGCCTCGTTACCTCGACGGAAGCTGGAGCCAGCAGGGGAGAGCACGTGTGCTCCGTGGGCCTCCACTGTGAGTGGCAGAGGTCCAGCAGGCGACCGTGGGCTGCAGCACGTCACAGCAAGAGCGACTGCAGGGAGCAGCCCTGCTTCCCCGGGTTAGAAACGGAGAAACTGGGGCCCAGATGAGAGAGCGCCTTGCCCGCAGGGTCACTCTGAGGAAATCTTTGAGTTCACGTGTAGTGTTCTCCTTTCCTCGGTATTTCTCTTGAGCAGCACTTACCCCGCTCCAGTCAACATATGTCAATGCCAGTGTTTGGGATTCTGGCCTTATGTAGCTATTGAAAAGTATGAGCATTTTAGCCTATTAAGAAGCATCATTAAAATATCTTGAAAAGAGAAATGAAAGCACAATGGGGAAAAGTTCTAGACGATGTGGACTAAGCAGCATGAACTAAAGGAGTGTGACCCACCCAAGATGTGGAATGCAGTGTGACGCCTGGTCACTAGTCTTTTCCAGGAACTGAAGCCAGGGTTGAACTGGAGTCCCACAGGCCAGTGGAGGACGCTGCCATTCCTCCCGCACCCCAGCGCAGTGTGGCGCCCAGGCCCCATGTCTGCCCGGGTCTGCTGCACCGTGTGCGGCGGGCCCACAGCAGCCTCCCGGCTCGAGGAGCCGTCTCTGAACTGAGTCGCTCTCCAGGGCCGCACCCTCAGATCACTCTTGTGGAGCTGAAAATAACACTTTCTTTTCTTAGACAAGTATTCATTTTGTAAATTACATACCTTGGTAGGCAACCTTTTAAAGTCTAATTTTTCAACTTTCCTTCCTCTGTAATGATTGGAAATTCTGATTCCAGTTAAGTTAGTAATTATGTGGTTTGGCTTTTATAATTTTTAAAGAATACAACTGTAGGTGTATTCACAGTTCCGGAACAATTAAAAACTGACGTTTTTATTGAAAAGGAAAGTGTACTAAAAATCCTGTTTCCTGGCCAGGAATATCTTAGGGCTGAAGACATTCCATCACAAAACTTCAGGAGCCTTAGAAGGAAGCACTCCCTTCAGAAATGCTGTGGGGCTGCGCCTGCTGCGCCTGCCGGGCTCGGCCTTTCCCTCGGGGACTGCTGTGATGGAGTCATGTCAGGCGTCTGCGTCACTGGCAGAGCGGGTCTGGGTGGCCCAGCGGAGGTCAGGGCAGAGGCCTTCTCCCCGCTGCCGCCTGTTCTGTGTGGTGGTCAGATTTGCCCCGGAGGCACAGGGGTGTGTATGAGTGTGACATTGCAGGGCGAGTGCCAGCCGTCCCGTGTGGACTGATCCCGTCTCCTGGTGCCCCTTCCGGACTCGAGGGTCGCGTGGGCCCTGGGAGCCCGGAGCTGTGCGGCTCCACCCAGAGGGAGGCGGCGCCTTGTACGGGACTGAGTCACTAACATGGCTCTCTGTCCCCACCGTCCCCTTTGTCTCTTTTTTCTCTTTGTACCCAGGGAAGATTTAGGATTCAGATTCATATCCGAACAGGTCAGCCACCACCCCCCCATCAGCGCTTTTTACTCAGAAGGCCTCAGTCAGGACTTCCTGTTCCACGGCTCCATCTACCCGAAGCTGAGGTTCTGGGGGAAGAGCGTGGAGGCGGAGCCCCGGGGCACCATCACGCTGGAGCTCCTTGGGTGAGCGGGCCGGGGGCCGCCCCGGGAGGCTGGGGCACTGCTGTGCGGGCAGGGACCCCCGCAAGCAGGAGGCTCTTTCCCCCGGGAGGCGGGCCCCGCCTTCCCTGCCGAGGCCACAGCCTCCCCACGGCAGGGCGTCCTCGAGTGAGGCCCCCTGGGCTGCTGGCGGGGCCGCGGTGACCCGGAGGCACTCCTCCCACAGTTGCTGCTGGGACTGCCCGTCCCTCCCCCTGGGCCTTCACATCTCCAGCGTCTGGTCGAGTCGTCGTGTTGGTGGCGTACCAAACTTGGCAGATGAGAGCCAGCGCTGTTTGCTCCTACAGTTTCTGGGGGCTGGGCCTCGGGAGCCATGCGGGGTGGTTGTGGCTCAGGGTCCCAGGAGGCTGCACTCAGGACGTCAGGCCCTGGGCTAGGCTGTGTCCTGAAGATGGCTGGGCGGGCATGACCTTCCGCTCACATCCGTGGCACTTGGCAAGGGCCTTACTGCTTCCCTGCCTAGTGGCCTCCCGTGGGGCTGCTCACAACATGGCACTAGCATCCCTCAGAGCCAGGGACCTGAGGCGGGGAGGCACCACCAGGACGGAAGCCACAGTGTCTTATGACCTGATCTCAGGACCTCCTGCCGCACACTTGTGCTATTGGCCACACAGACCAACTGCGGTCGACGTGGGAGGGGCCAATGGAGGGTTTGGACTCCAGGAGGTGAGGGACATCAGGGGCCGTCTTTTAAGCCTTGGTGCTCCCCAGTCCGTGCTGACCAGACACCTCAGAGCATGACCCACATCCCCAGGAACTGCCTGCCCGTTGCGCCCACCCAGGCCCTGGCACGCAGCTGGGTCTCAGGCGGGAGCCTCGCAGAGTGCGGCCTGCCACAGTGAAGCATCCAATGTGATTTTTGCTTCTTGTGCGTCCAGCCTGGCTGGGTGCAGAGCGTACCACGAGGAGCTGGAGGGGCACTGTCTCCCCAGCACACGTCCGGTGCCTCCCGGGGCTGGCGAGGGCACCGGGCCCAAGGGCTGGCCCTGTGTGGGAACTGGCCTGTTTCCAGCGGTCGTGGCTTTCTCGGGGCCAGGCCTCACTGATTCGTGCATTTAGGTTCCACCTGGGAACTGAAGGCGTTCCAGACATTTGCTGAGAAACGCTTGGCACTGAGCTGATTTTTGCCCTGAATTGTGGCTCTTGGTGCAGCCTCCTTCAAGACAGGCCTGGTGATCTGCTCGCTTCACATTTGTGGGGTTTCCTTCCTCGTCGGGTGAGGCCCTGCAGGGAGGGTGAGGAGTAAAAGGGAAGTTGTGTGGAGGTTGTTCTGCGCTGCAGAGCGCGCCCCAGCTTTCCTGCCCACCTCGGCCCATGGCCGCCGGGCCTGCACTCTGCCCGTTTGCTGAAGTTGCCTCTCCGTTGACAGCATCAGAGGGAAGCCACTCTTTCAGTCTTTTATCACTTATTAACTTGTCTTGACATTAAGTGGAAAGCTTTGTTGATACAAAGGGAAGAAGAAATAAATTTCAAACAAATGCTAAGCAACCAGCCACTGATTGAGGGACTTCAAAGGATACCCAGCTGTGCAGCAGGTTGTGGTGGCCGGGCTTGTGTCTGGTCCCCAGCTGTGCAGTAGGTCTGTGGTGGCCGGGCTGGGCGTGTCTGGTTCCGCAGTGGGTCATGGTCGCTGGGCTGGGCGTGTCTGGTTTGCATGTAAGCCACACAGCATCTTTGCTGCATCTGATTTGCTTGCTTTCTGGCGTCTTTCGCAGACATAATGAGGCCTACACTTGGACGAACCCCACCTGCTGCGTCCACAATGTGATTATTGGGAAGCTGTGGATAGAGCAGTATGGCACGGTGGAGATTTTAAACCACAGGTAACAGGCCTGGTTGTCATGTAATAATAAAAAATTGGAGGCGATGGGCGAGGCAAACCGCAGCGTCCAGGGTGCCTGCCAGGTAATTGAGGACACGTTTCACCCTGCACTCTGTGAGCGTTTGCTGTGCACCGCCCCACCCCTTGCTGGCCTCCACGCACCCCCTGGGCAGGCGGGGCCCACTTCCTGGCCCCTCGTGCTCCTTGGCGTCCGGGCAGGCCTCACTCGCAGGGAGACCCAGGCCTGATGGGGGCTGGACCCGGTTCTGGTCAGCATCAGTGCCCCGGGTTGATGTGAGTTTTGTTTCAGCCCCAGTTGCTGACTGACTTTGGTATTTTAAACACTACAGTTGAGATTGCAAGATGTGAAAACAGCGCCCACCCTTAAGTCCTGCCCATCCCCAGCTGTGGAGTCTTATTCCTGGAACTTCATTGAGATATAATTTGCATATCCTAAATCCACCCATTTAAAGTGGGCAGTTAACTGATTTTTAATAAATTCACGCAATTGTGCAGCCCTGAGCACAAGGCGGCTTGAGGGCCCCCCCCTGCCGACAGCCTCTCCCCAGGGCCCCAGCCCCAGGTGGCCTCCCGCGTGCCCTCACCTCGTTCACCCTGCCCGCCGCCGTCTTGTGTCCCTGCAGGACTGGAGATAAGTGTGTGCTTCACTTCCGGCCGTGTGGACTGTTTGGAAAAGAGCTTCACAAGGTGGAGGGGCACATTCAAGACAAAAAGTAGGTCCTCGTCCACACTCGTTCCCTCGCGTTCACGTGGCCTGCCGGCTGGGTGTAGCCACAGGGGTGTCTGCTCTCAGTGGGGACAGTCGGGACTTTCTGTTTCAAGAAGACTTCCCCCTGCTGAGCCTACGAGGGGGTAAAGGATAAGTGCCAAGTGTCATTTCTAAGGGGTGAGTGACTGCAGTTTCCAAGCAGAACTGAGGTTTCAAAGTCGTGGCCATGCGTTCCTTTCTGTCTGCCAGGAGCACCCACTGCCCGGGCTCAGGCAAGGCTCACAGGGCAGCTGCGTGGGTGTCATTTGCACGCAACTGGGTCATTCCAGTCTGTACATTAGGGACTTTTAAAGCTTACATGAGCAGAAAAATGGTCTGTAGTTTTTAACAGTTTTTTTTATCTTTTAACCCCCTTGGGTACCTTATGTTTTGGGTCTCAAATTTCTTTTCTTTCAAAGGGAATTTGTACCTTATCATGACAAGAAGTCCCTTCCAGCTCCCAAAAGCTATACGTCCCCATTAGAAAGAAGTTCCCAGCACAGGACAGTGGGAGCGTGGCTCCCATCCCTTCCCACTGGGGCCTGGAGATTCACCTGTTCAAACCTGTAAGATACCTTTAGGCCTAAGATGCTGACCGCTTTGCCCACTGAAGTAAGTTAGAATGGGTGTGTGGGCTGCACAGGGCAGCAGCCCTGTCCCTGAGGAGGGCCCTGCCAGCAGGTGAGGGGGGACCCAGGGGCACCGTGCGCAGCTGTCCACAGGCCGGGCTGGGGGCGGGGCCAAGCCGCACCGCCTGGGCCCCTGCACGGTGACCAGCCCTCAGGGAGCCCTCCAGGCGAGCCTCCTGGACGCCGCGGGGCTGGCAGAGCAACGCGCTGGGAGCCTGTGGCCACTGTGTGCCGTCCCCGCAGGAGGATGCCAAGAAAGGAAGAAAATGTGCGACACTTGGCGTCACTGGCTGGGAACCGGGCAGAGGGCTCTGGTGGCTGATGCGGAAAGAATCCCGGAGGTGTTAGCGAATGAAAGAGGCAGGCGGGTCATGACTCTGGTCTGGTGGTGGTTGTGGGGATGAAGCCCCCAGTGTCAGCTGACGGGGGCTGCTCACAGTTCCAGGGAAGGCCCGAAGGAGGCAGCGCAGGGCAGTTCGGTAGGTCCAGAGAAGGTGACCACACGGGCACACTGGGCTCAAGCTAGACGAACACTCACTCTCTCTGCCCCTTTTTGTCCCCACAGCCCAGGTCTGCCCTTTGAGGTTTTAGGCTTTCATCATTTCTGCTTTGCTTGTTGGCAATACAAATAGTCTCGAATGACTTGAGTAGAGACCCTAAAATGCACGTTTTCATCTTCACATTTATGTCCAGAGTTTCCCTAAAGTTCCTAAGAAGACAAACCAGAGCAGGAATTTATTCCATGGTCAGAATCAAGGTGCTGTATGTTACTATGAGTTTTTTTTGCAATTGTTCACTTGGTTTTAAACAATCCCTTTGACGACAGCAAAAAGAAGCTCTTTATGATCTACGGCAAATGGACGGAGTGCTTGTGGGGCATAGAGCCAGCGGCGTATGAGTCCTTCAGGAAGCAGGAGAGGCGGGGCGAGCACCTGAAGAAGGCAAAGCCGGTAGGTGCTGCTCCCCGGCAGGCGCCCCGCGAGGAGTGCCAATAGCTCAGCGGCGGCCTGGACTCCCAGCGCTGCTAGGGACGGGCACCGGGACGTCGGTGCCCTCCTGGGCCCCAGCTGGAAGGGCAGTGTGAGAAAGTCTCTGTTGTCCCTCTGGGTCTGCTTGGTGGGGGGTTTATCTGCATGCCGAGCACAGGGGCTGCTGTCAGGAAGCACAGGGCAGGGTTTCCTGGTGGCGCAGTGTCTGCCCCCTACACCAGCCTGGCACAGTTGGAGTACACCTCCATTTCTTTCTGGAAACCCCTTGTTCTGGGTACATCTAATAAATCTGTCTTCCTGCACCTTGTTAGCTTGAAACTATTAAAAAATCAAGCAAATGTCACTTCTGTGTTTTTAGTTCTGAGTACCAGAAAAGATGTTCAATAGCTGGAAAGTGTGCCCGGGGCTGTGCAGTTACTCTGAAGAAACCGGAAGTTGCCCTTCACGGGGGTTCTGGTCTTCTAGACACTGAATCAGAATGTGCCAGCCCTGAGGGGCTCCGTATTCTCTTAGCAAAAGTCTGCGACCTCTGCTAGGGTTTCCGGTGTCTCTGCAGTGTGGCGTTCTGTGTGTGCTGTTGGACATCTTCTCTGGTAATGCTCTTTTACTTCAAAAAAGTAAACGTCCATTGAAAGGCCAGCTGGGAATGTTAACTCCACTCGGTGATGTCTTTTAATGAGTCAGCTCAGCTTTCCCCTGGGCGACTGAGACAGGGGAGAGGCCTGTGGTGCTCACCCTGAGCTGCCTTTGTTTGGCTTCTGTACCGAACTGCCCGTCCCGCCGGCAGTAGGGAGCCCTGTCACAGAGTCAGGTAGGGGGACCACGGCCGGCTTTGCCTTGTCGTAAGTGTCCTCTGGAGCAGCTGCATGAAGAACCGCGTTCTTTTTCTCCAGGTCCCACTGATTTTGAAAACTAAATGTAGCAGTTTCTCTTCATTAAGATGTGATTTCCAGTTGGGGTTTAGTCTAGAAATGCAAAATACCATGAAATCACCTGGGATGAACCACCTTTTGTTGAGGGCAGAATAACAGCATGTGGGAAAGTCTCCTCATCTGAGAAGCACACCCTTTGGGAGGTCAGCTCAGAAAAAGCTTCTTTTAGGTGTTGCCCATCAGACTGTGGTCAGACTCAGCGGAGCTCCGTGTCTGTTGTGTGTGCTTCTCCCAAGAGGAGAGCCGTGTCCTCTGCTGACTTCCCGACCTCTTGGGGACCCAGCTCAGGGAGCCCCTAAGAGAACATGGGCACCTAGAGGCAGGGGGCCACCCCTCAGCTTGCCCTGAGGGACAGGCAGCCACAGACTGGGAGAGGAGCCTGTTCTCCTTCACTGAGAGGCCATCTCACTCTGCCCGGGAGCTGTGCTCAGTGCAGGCGCAGCTCCGAGAGTAGCTCGGCCACGGGCTGACCTGCCTGGGGTTCTGTTTCAGGACGATGGCACCGAGAAGGCTGATGGCCACGTGGTGGATGCCATGCCTGAGGTTCAAGACACTGTGCAGGTCATTCCGGGCAGCAAGCTGCTCTGGAGAGTCAACACCCGGCCTCCCAACTCTGCTCAGGTCCGTGCTCCCCGCCCCTGACTCCCAGCCCTCTGCAAGTCCCACCTCTCTGTGCATCCATCCTGGCCAGATCCCTCGGCTGTCCCCTGGCCCCTCATCCATGCCACCTCAGCCTGCTGTCCCAGCAGATGGAGGGGCCCGCCGCCACCTGACCAGACTGAGCCTCTGAGGGCTTCAGGCCCACCCAGAGTGACATCCCAGCCCTGACCTCCACCTGGCCTCCTCTGCAGCAAAGGCAGTGCCCTGTCGACATGACACGTTCACACTCATGTGTTTGTGCACACAGCACGGAACACAGCTGCCGCTGGGTGCCCCCCTGCACACCCTCACAGGTCTGTGCCGACTGCAGCCTGCTCACAGGGACTTCCACACCAGGCTGGAGGGGTCATTTTTCTGACTTGTCAATTCTGATGCTTAAATGCAATTTGATACTTTCAAAAAGTGCACTTATAGTTTGTATTAATATAATAAGCTTATTACATATATAAACGTGTAATATAAAAATAATTATATAATAACATGTAACCATTGGTTTTAATATTGTGAATTATATATTTATATATGACATAAACAACACATATAACACTGTGTTGTCATGCCCTATAAACATACCAGAGCATGTGTGAAAGGGGACAGAACACCCTCCTAGAGGCCCATTGCCTCCACACAGCCTGTTACAATTTTAGCAGAGTGTGAAATAGTCTAATGAATAGACAGCTTACATTTTTCAGGGAATTCCTTTTAAAATAACACTTGTGTGTCTCCAGCCTTTGTTCAGTAAGCCTCCATGAGTCCCCCTGCCTGCCAGGCCCTGGGTGGGCTGGGTCCCAGGAGCAGGGCTGGAGGACAGGGCGGGTGAGGGCTCCCCGCCCCCACTGGCCTGCCTGTGTGTCAGGAGGTGCTGGGGACAAACCAGCATGGCTGGGGGGGCTGGTCTCAGTGCTGCAGAGGGAGGATGGTGGGCCACTGTGGGAGCTGAGGCAGGTGTGGGCAAGCCACTCAGGCAGAGCACCCAGGGGTGGCTGGCACGAGGGCCCTGGGAGTGAGGGTAGAGGGGCGATGGGCTGGGCCAGGAGCCCCTGACATGGGGTGCCCTGGAGGCCTTTGAGCACTGGGGACCCAGTGGGCCCCTCTGGCTGCTTGTGGAGACAAACCACAGGAGGGGCAGGAGCAGAAATGGGAGGCAGGTAGGCGGCGAGTACAGAGGTCCGGCGAGGCAGTGGGCTGGCTGCAGATGGAGGCTCTCAGACCTCCTGGGGCGCTGAGGGGACGGCTATGCAAGTCAGGGGTCCAGAGGAGGGTCAGGCACCCTGAGAAGGTCTGCCCGGGCTCAGGCAAGGCTCACAGGGCAGCTGCGTGGGTGTCATTTGCACGCAACTGGGTCATTCCAGTCTGTACATTAGGGACTTTTAAAGCTTACATGAGCAGAAAAATGGTCTGTAGTTTTTAACAGTTTTTTTTATCTTTTAACCCCCTTGGGTACCTTATGTTTTGGGTCTCAAATTTCTTTTCTTTCAAAGGGAATTTGTACCTTATCATGACAAGAAGTCCCTTCCAGCTCCCAAAAGCTATACGTCCCCATTAGAAAGAAGTTCCCAGCACAGGACAGTGGGAGCGTGGCTCCCATCCCTTCCCACTGGGGCCTGGAGATTCACCTGTTCAAACCTGTAAGATACCTTTAGGCCTAAGATGCTGACCGCTTTGCCCACTGAAGTAAGTTAGAATGGGTGTGTGGGCTGCACAGGGCAGCAGCCCTGTCCCTGAGGAGGGCCCTGCCAGCAGGTGAGGGGGGACCCAGGGGCACCGTGCGCAGCTGTCCGCAGGCCGGGCTGGGGGCGGGGCCAAGCCGCACCGCCTGGGCCCCTGCACGGTGACCAGCCCTCAGGGAGCCCTCCAGGCGAGCCTCCTGGACGCCGCGGGGCTGGCAGAGCAGCGCGCTGGGAGCCTGTGGCCACTGTGTGCCGTCCCCGCAGGAGGATGCCAAGAAAGGAAGAAAATGTGCGATACTTGGCGTCACTGGCTGGGAACCGGGCAGAGGGCTCTGGTGGCTGATGCGGAAAGAATCCCGGAGGTGTTAGCGAATGAAAGAGGCAGGCGGGTCATGACTCTGGTCTGGTGGTGGTTGTGGGGATGAAGCCCCCAGTGTCAGCTGACGGGGGCTGCTCACAGTTCCAGGGAAGGCCCGAAGGAGGCAGCGCAGGGCAGTTCGGTAGGTCCAGAGAAGGTGACCACACGGGCACACTGGGCTCAAGCTAGACGAACACTCACTCTCTCTGCCCCTTTTTGTCCCCACAGCCCAGGTCTGCCCTTTGAGGTTTTAGGCTTTCATCATTTCTGCTTTGCTTGTTGGCAATACAAATAGTCTCGAATGACTTGAGTAGAGACCCTAAAATGCACGTTTTCATCTTCACATTTATGTCCAGAGTTTCCCTAAAGTTCCTAAGAAGACAAACCAGAGCAGGAATTTATTCCATGGTCAGAATCAAGGTGCTGTATGTTACTATGAGTTTTTTTTGCAATTGTTCACTTGGTTTTAAACAATCCCTTTGACGACAGCAAAAAGAAGCTCTTTATGATCTACGGCAAATGGACGGAGTGCTTGTGGGGCATAGAGCCGGCGGCGTATGAGTCCTTCAGGAAGCAGGAGAGGCGGGGCGAGCACCTGAAGAAGGCAAAGCCGGTAGGTGCTGCTCCCCGGCAGGCGCCCCGCGAGGAGTGCCAATAGCTCAGCGGCGGCCTGGACTCCCAGCGCTGCTAGGGACGGGCACCGGGACGTCGGTGCCCTCCTGGGCCCCAGCTGGAAGGGCAGTGTGAGAAAGTCTCTGTTGTCCCTCTGGGTCTGCTTGGTGGGGGGTTTATCTGCATGCCGAGCACAGGGGCTGCTGTCAGGAAGCACAGGGCAGGGTTTCCTGGTGGCGCAGTGTCTGCCCCCTACACCAGCCTGGCACAGTTGGAGTACACCTCCATTTCTTTCTGGAAACCCCTTGTTCTGGGTACATCTAATAAATCTGTCTTCCTGCACCTTGTTAGCTTGAAACTATTAAAAAATCAAGCAAATGTCACTTCTGTGTTTTTAGTTCTGAGTACCAGAAAAGATGTTCAATAGCTGGAAAGTGTGCCCGGGGCTGTGCAGTTACTCTGAAGAAACCGGAAGTTGCCCTTCACGGGGGTTCTGGTCTTCTAGACACTGAATCAGAATGTGCCAGCCCTGAGGGGCTCCGTATTCTCTTAGCAAAAGTCTGCGACCTCTGCTAGGGTTTCCGGTGTCTCTGCAGTGTGGCGTTCTGTGTGTGCTGTTGGACATCTTCTCTGGTAATGCTCTTTTACTTCAAAAAAGTAAACGTCCATTGAAAGGCCAGCTGGGAATGTTAACTCCACTCGGTGATGTCTTTTAATGAGTCAGCTCAGCTTTCCCCTGGGCGACTGAGACAGGGGAGAGGCCTGTGGTGCTCACCCTGAGCTGCCTTTGTTTGGCTTCTGTACCGAACTGCCCGTCCCGCCGGCAGTAGGGAGCCCTGTCACAGAGTCAGGTAGGGGGACCACGGCCGGCTTTGCCTTGTCGTAAGTGTCCTCTGGAGCAGCTGCATGAAGAACCGCGTTCTTTTTCTCCAGGTCCCACTGATTTTGAAAACTAAATGTAGCAGTTTCTCTTCATTAAGATGTGATTTCCAGTTGGGGTTTAGTCTAGAAATGCAAAATACCATGAAATCACCTGGGATGAACCACCTTTTGTTGAGGGCAGAATAACAGCATGTGGGAAAGTCTCCTCATCTGAGAAGCACACCCTTTGGGAGGTCAGCTCAGAAAAAGCTTCTTTTAGGTGTTGCCCATCAGACTGTGGTCAGACTCAGCGGAGCTCCGTGTCTGTTGTGTGTGCTTCTCCCAAGAGGAGAGCCGTGTCCTCTGCTGACTTCCCGACCTCTTGGGGACCCAGCTCAGGGAGCCCCTAAGAGAACATGGGCACCTAGAGGCAGGGGGCCACCCCTCAGCTTGCCCTGAGGGACAGGCAGCCACAGACTGGGAGAGGAGCCTGTTCTCCTTCACTGAGAGGCCATCTCACTCTGCCCGGGAGCTGTGCTCAGTGCAGGCGCAGCTCCGAGAGTAGCTCGGCCACGGGCTGACCTGCCTGGGGTTCTGTTTCAGGACGATGGCACCGAGAAGGCTGATGGCCACGTGGTGGATGCCATGCCTGAGGTTCAAGACACTGTGCAGGTCATTCCGGGCAGCAAGCTGCTCTGGAGAGTCAACACCCGGCCTCCCAACTCTGCTCAGGTCCGTGCTCCCCGCCCCTGACTCCCAGCCCTCTGCAAGTCCCACCTCTCTGTGCATCCATCCTGGCCAGATCCCTCGGCTGTCCCCTGGCCCCTCATCCATGCCACCTCAGCCTGCTGTCCCAGCAGATGGAGGGGCCCGCCGCCACCTGACCAGACTGAGCCTCTGAGGGCTTCAGGCCCACCCAGAGTGACATCCCAGCCCTGACCTCCACCTGGCCTCCTCTGCAGCAAAGGCAGTGCCCTGTCGACATGACACGTTCACACTCATGTGTTTGTGCACACAGCACGGAACACAGCTGCCGCTGGGTGCCCCCCTGCACACCCTCACAGGTCTGTGCCGACTGCAGCCTGCTCACAGGGACTTCCACACCAGGCTGGAGGGGTCATTTTTCTGACTTGTCAATTCTGATGCTTAAATGCAATTTGATACTTTCAAAAAGTGCACTTATAGTTTGTATTAATATAATAAGCTTATTACATATATAAACGTGTAATATAAAAATAATTATATAATAACATGTAACCATTGGTTTTAATATTGTGAATTATATATTTATATATGACATAAACAACACATATAACACTGTGTTGTCATGCCCTATAAACATACCAGAGCATGTGTGAAAGGGGACAGAACACCCTCCTAGAGGCCCATTGCCTCCACACAGCCTGTTACAATTTTAGCAGAGTGTGAAATAGTCTAATGAATAGACAGCTTACATTTTTCAGGGAATTCCTTTTAAAATAACACTTGTGTGTCTCCAGCCTTTGTTCAGTAAGCCTCCATGAGTCCCCCTGCCTGCCAGGCCCTGGGTGGGCTGGGTCCCAGGAGCAGGGCTGGAGGACAGGGCGGGTGAGGGCTCCCCGCCCCCACTGGCCTGCCTGTGTGTCAGGAGGTGCTGGGGACAAACCAGCATGGCTGGGGGGGCTGGTCTCAGTGCTGCAGAGGGAGGATGGTGGGCCACTGTGGGAGCTGAGGCAGGTGTGGGCAAGCCACTCAGGCAGAGCACCCAGGGGTGGCTGGCACGAGGGCCCTGGGAGTGAGGGTAGAGGGGCGATGGGCTGGGCCAGGAGCCCCTGACATGGGGTGCCCTGGAGGCCTTTGAGCACTGGGGACCCAGTGGGCCCCTCTGGCTGCTTGTGGAGACAAACCACAGGAGGGGCAGGAGCAGAAATGGGAGGCAGGTAGGCGGCGAGTACAGAGGTCCGGCGAGGCAGTGGGCTGGCTGCAGATGGAGGCTCTCAGACCTCCTGGGGCGCTGAGGGGACGGCTATGCAAGTCAGGGGTCCAGAGGAGGGTCAGGCACCCTGAGAAGGTAGAGGGCCCAGGACTAGGCCCTGGGCTGCACCTGTGGGGTCAGGGGAGGTGGAGTCCCCAGGGGAGACTGAGGCTGCACAAGTGCATCTTGGCGGGAAGGAGCCCCTGCGCTGGGCGGCCCTGATGAACTCTCCGGTGAGCGGGTGATGCGGGGTTTGGAAGGAATGCCTGGCTTCAGAACTGACCCGCACACAGAGAAGAGGGCCACGGAGTGACGGTCCTGTGCCTGCTCCTCCAGATGTATAACTTCACCAGCTTCACTGTCAGCCTCAATGAGCTGCAGGACGGCATGGAGGCGGTCCTGGCGCCCACAGACTGCCGCCTGCGCCCTGACATCCGAGGCATGGAGAACGGCGACATGGGTGCGTGCCTAGTGGTGGGGGGCCTAGCGTGGGTGCCCGCTGGCTGGAGGGCTGGGTGCTGCTCTGGGTGGCTGGGGACTGGCACAGGGGCAATGCCAGCTCCTCTGATTAAACAAGCTGTTGGGCTCCCAGAATGGCGCTTCCCAAGGTTGCCGCGGTGAAAGAGCTTTTCACAAATTTCTAGCCTGTTGCAGACCAATCCTTTCATAAATACAATAAAATTTACTAAGAAAACAAAATGAAAGAATGAGTGCAGAATACAGGCCCCGATTTTTATTATTGGCTTCGACAGACAGTGCTGTTACAGTTCACACACCGAACATGTTTGTTGAGAGTCCGTGTCCAGCCAGGTGTGCACAGTGGGTGAGAGTGTGGCACACCAGGGCACTGTCCTCTTGCCCGCTCACTCACGGCTCTAGGGGTCAGCTCAGCACCACAGCTGCTCACCGATGTCTGCCCATCGTGAGTCTTGCTTCAGTAGCTGGTGTTCAGTGAAGAACCCACTCAGGGCAGCGCTGCAGGCAGGGTGGGGCACCCCAGCCCCACACACACCTGCAGGGGCACCTCAGTGCGGGAGCCACCTGCGCCCACCCGGCAGGTTGGGCAGGAACACCGTGTGTCTTTTGCCAACGGCTGGTGGGTGTGCACACGCCCTGGGGGCCGCCCTGCCCGCCCTGGAGCCGGTTCCCCTTCCAGAGCGCATGCTCCCGCCCCTGCCTCAGGCGCCTGGTGGTGGGCAGCCGGCCTGGCACTTGTGCCCGGGTCTGACAGGCACGGTTTTCCGCGAAGTGTGGCCGTGGCCCTGGGGCTGCCGCCCCACCTCACTGCCCTGTGCGGCCCCTAGATCTGGCGAGCCAGGAGAAGGAGCGACTGGAGGAGAAGCAGAGAGAGGCCCGGCGGGAGCGCGCCCGCAGCGAGGCCGAGTGGCGGACGAGGTGAGGTGCCGTGGGGGCGGGCGGGCCATCAGCGTGACCTCTGGTGACTTTGATGCCACTGATGTTTTTAAAATCAGGTGTGGGTGCTTGGGCTTCCAATTCTACTTCATGTCGTGCCTTTTTTTAGTAGTTTGATATTTGGAATTGGCTTCTTCTGGAAAAAGACAGCTGGAAAGTAACCAGCCTTTGTTGACGTTCTAAAGTGGCCCATTTGAAGAATATGTTGTGAAAGTAATGATATTTTGTTAAATACTTTATGGTCCCCCAAAATTCACTCTGTGGTAAACTGCAAGCGTCCGTGGCTGTCTTCATGTCACAGCGTGCCACGCCACCATCACTGTGCCAAGGATGCCTGCAGTGGCCCCGCGCTGGAGCTGGGAGCTGGCGGGTAGCAGCCGCTGCCACCCGGCGAGGCTGCTGGAAGCGGGGTGGGATGCCACCCATCTCCTCTCTGCCCCGAATCTCTCCTCCTTCCCCGCTGACCCAACAAAAGGCACTGCTGTCACTGAGGGAGGCGTGGGCGCTGCCCCTTCCCGTGCGAGGCACAGGCGCTGTTCAGGGCACAGTGGCGGAGTGAAAACGTGACTGGCACCTCTCCACTGAGTTGTCACCTGGGCTGCAGGGCCGGGGCCTGTTTGGATGTGACGCCGCCTCGTCAGGGACGCAGCCCTGAGCCCGAGGGCAGGCGGAGGGCAGCACCCGCAGCCAGCGTCTCCTGACTGCCTCTCTGTGTTGCAGGTGGTTCCGCCCAGGCAGTAACCCGCACACCGGGACGCCCGACTGGTTGTACACAGGGTGTTACTTTGAGCGGGATTTCTCAGGCTGCCCAGATATCTACTGAGGGACAGTAGTGGCCCCGGGACCTGGACACTGAAAGGCTGGACTCCGTCAAGTGGCCGCTCCGAGCCTGGCCATGCCAGAAGCCAGCTTTTCCACCAACCGTGTTCGTGGAGCCAGCGGCATCCCTGGTCTAGGATTCAATTCTGATTAACGTTTGATTGCCAAACATTTTACTACTGTTGCAGCCTCTTCATACAGCTTCACATGGGTCATCATGTTCTCATCAAGGTTTGGAAAGGAATCGTCTTTACAACTCCCTTTTATGGGGTGAAAATAAGTGGGGGCTTGGTTAGCTGACAGCGCCCTCTTAATTATAAAATTTATGACTACAGGAAGCAGTAGGAAGGGGTTTGTTTTCCTCCTTACCATGCAGTGGCCGGGGTGTCAGAGGTAAAGGAGGGATCTTGAAAATAATCCTGCAAAGCGCTTCACACGGGCCGGGAACTTCCCGAACCGCGGTGGTGCCCAAGGGAAGATCTGTAAAGCAGCATATTGAATGAAATGAAAAGTTGTCAGATTCTGTATTTTTTACCACTCTTCAATAATGTAAAGATTAATTTTAAAATATTTAAGTTAAACTACTTGAATAGTAATTTGCTGAATAGCAAGGTATGCATTGATCATGAAATATATACTGTCCAAAGTGAAGCTTCACCACGGCGACCGAGGGTGGCCAGGGCAGTGAGGGTCGCTGGCAGAGCCGAGTCCCCAGACTGCTGCCAACCTTGGGGGCTCAGGCCTGACAGGAGCTCCCGTCTGGCCACGTCTGCTCCTCTTGTCACCAGGCTTCACTGTCACTGGGGCCACACCCATGTCACAAAGTGAGTCATTTCTTAACACATTTCACCTGTGTCCACAGCACTCCTGTGTTTGTTTTTCCCAGCACGCTTGTTTATAATGTAAATGAATCGCAGCTGATGTGCACTGGGGAAGGGTCAGAAGCACAGTCTAGTTACAGTGGTGTAATTAAAGTCATTTAACAAAAGCAGGCATACGTGCATGTTAGCACACGTCCTTATCAAGTGACTGCTCTCTCTCTGTAGGAATGTCAACACCGTAGATCACGGTAGAGCTGTTTGAACGGAAGACAGGCTGCTGGACACACGCATGCACACACACAGTTGTATGGATGGAGGGTTCTCACGCGTGCATACATGCACACATGCACTTAAAGGAGTGGCAGGTTCTCAGTGAGAGTTGTTTGTCACTGTGTCCAGGCTCAGAACCACATTTGTAATTAAAGCACTTTTAAAAGCGAATACTGGTTCTGTGGGCTTGATTTTGTGGCTTGGAAACTGGAAGCTGTGGTGTTGAAGTTGAGTGCAGGGTCTGCTTGACAGGGACCCACACGGAGCCACTGGCTACATGCAGAGGCATCTGAGGATTTACTATTTTGACATTATTTCAGAGAGATTTTGAAGTATTGGGTCGTTAAGATGGGGAACCCCTGGCAGAGGGCCGCGCACGTTACCAGCCCCCCCTCCAGGGAAGAGGCAAGCGGAAAGCTTGGGGGAGGAGCTAGGATGCATTTAGGCCGCTGTGTTCAGGGCAGGCTGCAGGCTCTCGGGGACCGCGTTTCCTGCCGCCTCCAGAGCTGTGCCGACAAGGCTGGCCTCGCTCAGTCCTCCCTGGAGGCCAGGTGTCCGTGGCCCGCTCCGCACAGCGGCGGCCCCACAGCTGATTCCTGTGCAAGTCACTCCAGCTCAGGAACCGAAGAAGAAGGGGTGAGGCCGCGGCCCCGAGGCACAGCGCGTCTGCGGGCTGGCCGTTTTGCTCAGTGTTCTGCTGCTCACGTGCCCAGCCTTCCTGTGGCCACACCGGTGTGGTGTGCCTGTGGCATGAGGGCCCAGGTGCTTTGTGATCTTGGAACTCAGAGTGTCCCTGCGGAGTGAAAAGTAGGGCATGCTCCCCAAGAACCACACGTTTTGGTCTGCTCCCCATGCAGTTAGGGGTCAGGTACGCGTCCAGAGCCAGTGAGCATTTATCCAGAGCCACTGGAGATTTGCCGAGGACAGCCCGGAGTATGTTTTGTATAAAGCGCACATTAGTGTTACGGGGCACACCGATGCTGGTTCAGTATGTCTCCTAAGCTGCCTCGTACTGGGAATGAAGTCGTGCCTCGGTGGCGCGACTGGTGTGGGCCTGTCCCAGAAGTGCCGGGGCATCACCTGGGTGTGACTTCCCGTCCTGAGGTAGTGGAGATGCAGGCTGCCCCAAGGGCCAGAACCCTCCAAAACGCTGCCTGTAAAGGGAGTAAATGGAACCCATTTCACAGACGCCCCACGCTCTTAGCAGACTGTTGAAGCCCCACAACGAGATACAAGGGCAGGAAGTGGCCTGGGAGGGCAGGGCCACAGGTGTTCTTGCCACTGTCCCCCTCGGGACTCTGTCTCCAAGGCTCGTGATGCTTGTGCTCGTGGAAGGAACCGCCTGCTCATCTGCGGACATGTCGATCTGCAGCAGGGAAGCACACGTCAGACCCCTTGGCCTGGCACCTGGGGAAGAACCAGGTGTGGCCCTGAGGCCTCCGGGAGCCACAGCCAGGGGCCCGGCTGACACCCTGCCCCTGGTCCCGTGCGCTTGGAGCTGTCCAGCTGGGAAGCCACATACTGCACATGTGGGGGACATGCCATCTGTTCCCTGGTCCTCATCGGAACACAAGGTCAGGAAATCGGGGCAGGATGGGAAATGCCAGGAGGATCCCTGAGAGGCAGCCCCCCGGGCAGCCCCATCTGTGAGCCCCCTGTCAGGACACCCGTCCTCTGGGAAAACGTTCCCTGACTGAGATTGTGATTCACAGCCCCACGAGTCTCGCGCACCCGTGAGGAGAGGTCACATCAAGAAACAGTGAGAATGCTACGAAGCTCCGACAGTTCAGAAGCCCCCGTCGCCCTTTCCCTGTCCATCCTTGGGTCATGAGGGCTGGGGTGGGGCGCGCAGAGAACGGCTGGACTGGAAAAGAGCTCGGTCAGTGGCAAGTTCGTACTAGTCCTGGTTTCTCCTTCTCAACGTTGGGACTTTCTAACATCCTCCAAAGGCCTCTTCTGTGTCCAAAGTGGGTACAGGGATCAGGATCCCTGGTAAACAGCGTGCAGGCAGACCCGCAGCGTGTCACATGGTGGTCCCCTCAGTATGTGCAGACTTGGGGCCTCGCTGTGCCCCTCCGTCAGTGTGAGCATTTCCCAAAGGGAAGCCAGCACCTCGGGGTCTCTCGATAGGAGTTTACCAGGCGGTCAGGCCTGCGCTGGGCATGCCACTCCTTTTCCTCTTTGAGAGCCAGACTGTCCTGAGCCAGATCGGATGTTGAGGGAAGGCCTGCTTGGTCCCTGCAGAGGGTGACGACACAGATGAGGGCCCCTCCTCCATGGCCACGCGTGCCTGGCTGGCCTCAGCAACATCCCTGTCCCACCAGTGCAGCACAAAGCACGCTAGTGAATGGGTGTGCCTTGTAGTGCCCATCCCTATAAGCCGGGTCGGTATTCGTCCATGGAAACGGGTCGGTGCCCACCCCTGTAAGCAGGGTTGGTGCCTGTCCAGTCAACCATTCTAGATTAGTTTTGGAGGCTGGTACAGATATGTGGGGATGAATGTTAAGCCCCAGCTCTGAATGAAGATGGTCTGACGATGCTCGTAGTGACACATTTCGCACTGACTGACCATCACTCGGCTGTTTTGGCCTCCCTGGAAAGGGCTGCAGATGGGCTGTGGATGAGTCCCAGGCCTGGGTTGTCCAGTGTTCGGACGGTGTGTTCTGTAGGACTGGCCCAGCAAGTGGACTGTGTCAGAAAACTGCTTGTCATGTGAGAGCAGGGACTTGGGGATACTTGCACCGCCACTGGGTGGGCTTGCTGAGCAGGGAGCAGCTATGACTGACCATCTCTCTTCTCTCCTGGGGATCGGAGCCCTTGGCTGGGAGCATCGAAAGGCCCTGAACACAGTGTTAGTTTGACTCAAGGGTCCCTGCTGCCCTGGGTGGCCAGCAGCTGCAGACGTCTCAGGAATCGAGGTGGCCATCCCAGCAGCCATAGTGGCTCTGGACAGAGGGACAAACGGTCCACAAGATTTTAATGCTCCCAGAATGTCCCAGCTGCAGATGGGGAGATCCCCCGTGGGCCGCCATGTGTGATAATGGGGGCCACAGAACACTGAGCCCCGCCAGAGCCCTTGTCAGGCACTGTCTCCTGGGTGCTTAGTTCCCACAGTTACCATCCAGCCAGACCCACACAGGAGGGAGAGGAGGTGCGGGCAGGAAGGGGTAGGCTTGCCAGAGGTTTTCCGGTGGCAGGGAAGTGGAGCTCACCCTTGTGCGCATGTGATGGACGCCTACCGTCCTGTAACACCACCATCTGCATATGCAGTCAACTGACAGGATGTCACGGCCATTCAGTGGGGAAAGGACAGGCTTATCAACATGGTGCTGGGAAACTGGACATCCACACACATACGAATGAAATTAATTCTTATCCAACACCACGTACAACATTAACGCAAAATGGATCGAAGACCTAAACGTAAGATCTAAAACAATAAAACTCCTAGAAGAAAACATGGAGCACAAATTTCATGACACTGGACTTGGCAGTGATTCTTGGGTGTGACACTAAAGGCACAGACAATAGAAAAAAACAGACAAACTGGGCTTCATGAAAATTTTATAAATGTTGCATGTCAGACGCTATCTATCATCAGAGTACAAAAAAGGGCAGCCCACAGAATGAGAGAAAATATTTGCAAATGATATACATCTGCTAAGGGATCAATATCCAGAATAGAGAACTCCTAAAACTCAACAAAGAAGAAACAACCCAATGCAAAAAGGGGCAAAGGGCTGCCTAGACATTTCTCCAGAGAAGATGCAGATGGCCAAGAAGCCCGTGACAAGATGCTCCGCTGGTCAGGGAGATGCAAATCACAACCAATGGTGAGGACGTGAAGAAATCGGAACCTTTGTGCATTGTTGGTAGGAATGTAAGATGGTGCAGCTGCCATTGAAAACAGTATGGCATTTACTCAATTAAAAATAGTTACCATGTGATAGTTACCAGCAATTCCACCTCTGGGTATGAACCCGAGAGAACTGAAAGCAGGGTCTCCGGGGTATTTGTGCGCCGTGCTCACGGCAGCAGCCAGCAGGCGGAGGCGACCCGAGCGTCCGCTGGCGGTGGACGGATGGACGGATGGACGGCTGGACGGATGGCGCATGAGCCGGGCGCGGGGCACACACAGGCAGGATCAGCCTCCGCAGGGCAGGGAGCTGCGACACAGCTAAGAGAAATGAGGCCGTCACGGGAGACAAACACCGCTCCGCAGTTCCATTGACTGAGTCGCCCAGAGCGGCCAGAGCCACCCAGAAAGCAGAACGGTGGGGGCAAGAGGCGGGGGTGGGGGGTCCAGGACAGTTTCAGTTGCAGAATGAAGAGTCTGAAGGGGGCTGCGATGGTTTCAAACATTACAAACGTATTTAATACCACTGAACTGCATGCTTAAAAATGGCTAAAACGGTAAATTTTATGTGTATTTCACCACAATTTTTAACAGTGGAAAAGTCATCGGGGGTTGAGTAGGAAGGGGGGCTGGACAGGCTGACGCAGATGAAACCGCCCGGGTGATGTGCCGCTGGCGGGCGCGGCCTTGGGCGTTGGTCTGAACCCCGAACCGCAGAGCGCACGACGCCGAGAACCCCGACGTGGGCCCGGGGCTGCTGGCGGCAGGACGCGCGGCCGCGGGGGAGGCTGCTGGTGTGGGGGGGGCAGGTGAGCCCTGCGCTTAGTTTTGGTGGGGACCTAAAATTGCTCTACAAAAGCAAGCCTATCATTAAAAACAGAAAAAACAACAAAACCACCCGGCAAACGGCTCTTCTCACGCGGCCTTGCCTCTCATCTTCCCACCAGGGCCTCCCCGGTCGGCCCTCGGGATCGGCGGGTTCTTTTCCGTGTCAACCACCGGAGCAGGTGCCTCCGGGCGCGCGTCTCCCCCGGGAACGACGGCGCGGCCGCCTCTTCCTGCGCGCAGGGCCCTCCGTGCACTCCGCGCTGGCGCGTCCCGGCCGCAGCCCGGGGCTGTCGGGCGCGCTGTTCGCGGGCGCCGCCGGGGAGCTGGGGCCGAGGGCCGCGGGGCCCCACAGCGCACGTCCACCTGGGGCGTGTTCCTTACCGTGGGTGTTTCACGGGACGTGCTGGAAGTGGATAAAGCTGGGGTTTGGGGGCCACCCCAGGCTCCCGGGCCTGCGGGGAGGGGGCGCTGGCTGAGAGCCCCGCCC